AAGGAAAAAGTGTTGCGCAGCATCTGTGGAAATCCTTTGTAAGAACAAATGGAAGAAAAGCACTGTCGGTCGCCATGTACATGCGTTTCCACACACACACGCCCTGCTTGGCAGGGCAAGTGCAATCTGACCGAATCAAAGGTCATGACGACATGTGTGTGTAGGAACAGAACTCTACAGTCGTAGTCAAAACGAGGGTTGTGTGTTCGGACATTGTGAAACGTACATAAAATGGCAAGCACAACGTAGGTTGGCTCGAACTAACATCTTGGCACATGCACGGCTTCGAAAGGCACTGGGCCGATGAAACAACATAGGATCGCCCATTGTGGCACTGGAGTGTGCCTCGCTTGCAGCTTCAGACTCAGTAGTGGCAGAGCGGACAGAAGTCTTTCTCTTTTTCTTGGACTTCTGTGCTTTTTTGCGCGTGGTCTTCTTCTTGCTGCCTTTCTTTTTCTTGGTGGACTTCGCAGACTTGTCTCTCTTGATCTTGGGGAGGTTCTTGGGAGGGTCGAAGGCTGATGACCATGAGCTTGCATCATCAGGAAGCTCATCATAATGTAGGTACGACAGTGCAAGTGGGAAAATCGAGATGCAAAATGTCGGGGGCGAGGCCACCGATGAGGCATCTAAAGGCTTTGGCGGCTGCTTGTGTGTGCCTCAGAACACAGCGCCGCGTTCGTGGATGAGATGCCAAAAGGAGTCACCGCTCCATGTAGGAGCCAACTGCAATGAGCTTTGCCAAAGGTTGCTTCTGTAACTTGGTGACAGTAGCGGGAGGAACTCCCCAAATTACTGCCGTTCTCCGAATTTTTGTCAAGAAGTCGTCGGTGTCCTGGGCTTCGACCCAGTCTTCGACTTGCTTCAACCAGTCCTGCAACTCGGATTTTTTGCGGTCGTTCAAGGTCAAGGAGTTGATCCAGGGCTTTAGTTCCTTATCATGGCATTTGGCTGGAAAATGAGAGGCGAGCCATCGTGAGCCTTCCTGTGGTGGCTGCATGATGGAAGAAGGTTCAGGCTTGGCAGGGGTGCCAAGGTTGGAGCCGGGGCTGAACTGCAAGGGTAACTGCCGCAGGTTTTGGCCTGCGAGTGCAGGTGCAGCAGTGGATTTTGTCGTGGAGTTTGGTGAAGACGACTCCGCTGGCGGTGCAAGAGGAGAGCGATCGGCATTGTTGCCACGGGCAGGGAGAGGAGTGGAAGGGCCGGGGGATCCGAGGCCGATGCTGTTGTCGGGAGGGGCACTGGCCGAATGCTGCTGCTTTTGAAGCTGTTGTTGCAGGCTCCCGATCTGGCCTTCAAGCTCACGGATTCTGGCCTGAGACTCACAGTCTGTTTCGACAGGTATCTTGCTCTTTACCTGGTCGACAAGAAACTGGCCCAAGGCTTTGACAGCAAGGTTCTTAGCTTGAGAGGTTTGAGTTTGGACAGCATGGTTGGTGGCAGCTGCATCGATGTCCAGACCCTGAGCTCTTATTTGTGATAAGAGCTCACCGGCCAGCACCATTTCGGCTTTGGTGGGAGCAACAATGAAGTAGGCCTCTTTGCCGGCGGCAATCCACCTAAGCCAGTAGCTGTTCCACCCCTGGTAAAGGAAGTGAGCGGGATGCAGGTTGGTGACAGGAATGCCCGCAATTCCTTCTCTCGTGCCCAGGAGGACGACACAACATGTCGAGGACAACTGAGGTTGCCAATGCTGCGACGGGTATCCAAGTAGTCGTTGTCCTGCAACCAGTCCTCGGGTACAGGCAAGGTCATGGGAGGTTGTGGAGTGGCAGTGCCGTGTCCTCCTGAGGCGATGGGTGCACGTGGGGATGAGAGGGATATCCTGAGGCAGGAAAAGGAGAGAGAGGCTCCGGCGCAGGTGTTTTGGTCTGGCTGCCGGGTGAGCCAGGAAAGGATGTAAGGGAATGGCCGGGGAAGATGGTCTTGGCAAGTCCAGGCATGGAACCCAGCGTGGGATGTAGTGGCATGACAGTGCTGTGGGCCGGTGCCGAAGGCCAGTGCCCGTAGTGCAAAGGACGGTGAGGAGAGGTGAAGACAGGGAGTGATGGGCCCCTCCATAGAGGGGGAGGAACAGGTGGGAAAGGCAGTAGGCCAGGTTGGCACGGCTGGGAAGGAAGTCCCGACCGTGGAGGAGGAGTCCGGCTGCGGTCCATAGCGCAAAGCTAAGCTAAAGCAGCTACGGGTGAAACAAAGCTACACGACATCCTAAGTCAGTTGAGCCAACTAGGCAAAACAAAAAAGCAGCGATACAAGTAGGGGCAACAACGAGGCGAGCATCGAGTGCAAGATGAGCAAGAACCAACTCGAAGCAAACCGATCCCTGTTTATGCGGCTGACCACGCTGTCGGTTGTGACTCCTCACAAAGGGAGGGGTACCACGAAGCCGCGGATTCTTGTTGAAAGCTGCATTGAAGGCCCAACGATCCTTCGTTCGGATATCTCCTCGCCGAAAGCACAGGCGAGATTCTTCAACTGT